TGAATGAATGAATGAATGAATGAATGAATGAATGAATGAATGAATGAATGAATGAATGAATATGAATATGAATATATCTATATCTATATCTATATCTATATCTATATATATCCCAAATCTAATATTTCACTGCAACTATTTCTGCAAGTTTCAATGACCATCAGAGATAGTAATCCAGTACTTCCATACTCAAAGATAGCTGGGTTTCCTCATGAGGCAGAATTTAACTACTGTCCTGCAGGCCAATGGCCAGTAAAAATAGTTTGAAAGTATTTTTTCAAATAAAACGATAAAGATGCCCTCAAGATGAGCTTGACTTCTGATAACTGCATCTACAGATTTTTCCAGCTGTGTTACAGAAGTGAGTACCTTCTACCTTCTTCTGGATTTTTTTAAAATTTCCCAATCTAACCTTGGGATTGCTAGATGGTTCTGTACCCAAGTATTAGCAAGGGCTGACTCTGTTTAGCTTCCAGGATCAGCCAAGATTGTCTAGGTATTACTACCTGTTGAGATGTCCTTTTCCAACACTGGTATCTAAAGATTTCATATGTTAAGGTACTTAGAAATATACCTTCCTATAACATCCCTTCCTCCTTGGCTAGATTTATTGATTTATGAAATTTATATGAGTGCCCATCTATCCAGGAAAACTCTGGGTGGTAAACAAAAAGTAAAAACATCAACAATCATAAAACACACACAAAATCCAAACCCTCATTAAAAAAAAATCTCAAATTACACTCATATCATACAATCACACCAGAGCTCCAGGAACTAACAGCTTGGGCCCAATCTCTGAGGGAAGAGTTGGGTCTTCACAGCGTTCCAAAAGGCCAGTAAGATCAGAGCCATCCATATGGGTGGGGGGAGGTTGTTCTACAGGGCAGGCATCATGACAGAGAAGGTCTGCTTCCTAGGATCCACCAGGTGATGCTACATCACTGAAAGGACATGGGGCAGGTTCCCATTGACAGATCTCATGGGACCTGTAACCTGGTTCCATGCATGGCACTTTGAATTGCATCCAGAAGCTAAATGGCAGCCAGCACAGCATACACAACAGTGATATTATGTGGGTGTACTGTGGTGTGCCCAATACTGTACATGTCGCTGTATTATGAACCAGCTGAAGTTTCCAAATGCTATGCAACCATGAACAGTGCCTCCCAATCTAGGAATTGGCACAACTGGCACATAAGATGTATTTGTGCAAAGGCCATCCTGGGAGCCACAAGTCCAGAAGGATTCCCAGATTGCACATCTAATCTGCTTGGGGGAGTGTTACCCCATCCAGGTTAACAACAGAAAATCACCAGATATGGGTGACCCTAAAACCCAAGCCACTTAGTCTTATTGGGGTTGAACCAAAACTGGTTCCTACCCATCTAGTCTCCAGGCATTAGGAAAGCACTTCAACAACACATGGGCAGCCCAAGGCAGAAATATACAACTGAGTGTCATCAGCATACTGATGAAACCTAATCCCGTAATGACAGATAACCCCACCCAGTGGTTTCATGTAGATGTTAAATAGGAATGGAGAGAGAGTCAAGCCCAGTGGCACGCCATACAACAGAGGCCTAGGTTTGGACCTTTCTCATTATCAATACCAGTTGTAACTGCCACCAAGGAAGGAAGGAGAACCACTGAAAAACAGTGCGTCCCACCCCCTCAGCCAGCCCAGAAGGATACTATGATTAATGCTACTGAAAGCCACTGAAAGATCAAGAAGGGCCAGGATGAATACACTACCCCATCCTGAACCTGCCAGAGGTCAGTTACAATCAATGCCATCTCAGTGGTATATTCCAGCATGAATCCTGACTGCAACAGGTCCAGATCATCTGCTTCCTCTAGAGCCCTTTGAAACTGCAGGCCTACCACCTTCTCAACAATCTTCCCTAAAAAAGGGAAAGTTGGAGACTGGACAGCTAGGTTCAGCTATAATACCCTGAGGAGGGGCCATACCACCACCTCTTTCATGGCAAGTGGAAAAACCCCTCCCACAAGCCCTTGAATGCAGTTATGTATTACCTCCAGGGAGGCCTTAACAAGCCATACATGTGGCATGACTCAGCATCCCAAGGACCCAGTCCACTTCCTGAGAAATTCCTCCCAGACAAGACTGTGTCCCAGTCTTCGCCACAGGACAGGCACAGCTGGGTTTCAGCTTCAAGTCAAACCCCTTTATCCATCAGATGGTGAGCATAAAACCCACTACAACCTTACA